GCTAGACCGGGAAGCTAATAATAAGACTGAAATCAGTGACGTCAAATTATCGAACTGTTAGAAATTGTTCTCGACAGTTATATATACCTTAAATAACTACTGCTGCCGCTGCAGTTATTGTTTCCATAATTTGTAGGCTCTTTTAGTTATTAGATATAAGTTACATATTCAGTAGAATCAGAAAGCTGAATAACTGTAAAAAGTTGCGATATCAAAAATATCACATTTCCTTTGAACTATTAAATTCTTCATCAACATTTTTCAGCACCAGTACTTCATCTACAGTGAAAAACGATTTCCTAGGTGTTATAATTGAAACTGAGCCATAATACTCTGAAATTATTTAGCCCATAACAGTGGAATTACTTCCAAACTAAAGGAAATCATATCGCGCAAAAATAGCTGCTTTCCGCATACAGCCAAAAAAAAATTTTTTTCCCAAGTTCAGCTATCAAAGTATCTCAGACAAATGTGGTGAAGGGCACGTTCCTGCCCAATGTTGGTGCCAAATCTTGTTGATCAGAAGAACATTTCAAAATCTTTCTCTGTGCTAAACCAGTGCTCAAAAGTTTGAGAATTATTGCGTCCTGTTTATTTGAGTTTTTCACATTGTATATTCCTGAGAAAAATTGTTTTTCCATGTTGCTGAAGCCAGTTTATTCTTTTTAAAGCAAAATTAAACCCAAGTCTTATGGCAAATGTCGAAAAAATTTTCACAGATTCTATACAAATACACTTCTATAGATGTAATGCATCATGCGCTTTTTTTGAACTTCCCTCTCCAAAGAAAATTCTAAGACTATTTTTTTTAAAGCAATTTTTTAAAAAGCTAATAAAACCTGTCTGAAAGCAACTAATTAGAGGAAGGTTGCTACTTGCAAAAACGTGGGCAGTAAAACGGCAGAGAAAGATACATTTCTGTGAAGATGCTAAATTTCCAAAAAATTTGAATAACCTATGAAAAGTCTAAGATACAGTTTTATATCATTTTTCTTATTAAACTACTTTTTTCTTCTGTTAAAGAAATAATTGTTTAAAAGAGAATGAACACTGTTTTTTTTTTTT